TATTGGGGGGGGGGGAACGTGCAGATCTGCACTCACAGAGGAGGGAGAGCTGGTACCTGAATAAAACTTGGTCTTAAAGGTGCCACTGGACTGTTTTGGATTGCTAGCTATGGGGGTGGGGGTGGGGGAATGGGCAGATCTGCCCTCACAGAGGAGGGAGAGCTTGTACCTGAAGATGGGCTGGGGGGGGAGGGCTCTGCAATTTACCTGGCTGCTTCTTGCTCCTCGTGGCCCAACTGAAGGCTGCTGGGAGCAGGGGGCGGGGCTTGTTGCATGTGCCTGCACCTGCTGGAGCTCTGCTCCTGTTTGCTCCCACAGGAAACGAACTCTGGTTCTTGCATAAGTCGGGTGCCATTAAGGTAGACATTCGGTTCATGGTTGCCAGGAATGTTGTTGAGATGGAAACAAGAGCATTTTGTAAACATGACCGTTCTGGACACATAAACCTAAGGTAACTCGGGATGGGCCAGCCATGGGAGCCAGGTCCCTCCAACAGAAGATGCCTGAGGCGAGGGCAGAGACTTGCTCATTCTAGTCCTTATGGACTGAGCTGACAGGAGAGAAGAGGGGGGGGCATTGCCTGCGTGGAGGATGTTCTGAAAGTGCCGCTTGAGATGAGGTTCTCTTAGTCTACCAGCAAAAACCACTATCTAAGCCACTGGTTCCCATACTGGGCAATACCGGCCCCTGGGGGGGGGCGCTGGAACTATCCGGGTGGGTTGTAGGGGCCTTGGGTGCAATTGGGGGACACTGAATAAAAATAAGGGGGCAGTGGAAGCATAAAGAAAGAAGAGTCCAGAACCTATCTAAAGCAGCCTTTTCCTGCCTTCTCCTGCTCTTCCCTGGGATCAGAGGTGGAGGTGGAGAGGGGTCCCCACAGCCAATCACAGCCATGCATCTGCAAACTGTAAATGCACATCAGGCCCGTAGCTACAGTGGGGCATTTGGGGGCAGGGCCTCCCAACTTATTTCAGAGGCCCCCTTCAAATGTCCCCGGTGGAGGGGTGTGTGCACAGGAGAACCGGAGGCAGCAAATAATCATAATTAAATTATCTAAATTGGCCAGTGCTAAGTGCTCCCCGAGAAATTTAAATGCCCCCTGATTTAAAAATTCCTGGCTACGGGCCTGATGCACGTGCACCCTTGTAAGACTGGTGTTGCTGCTGGGCTATTGTGTGGTGGTTGCTGCTGGCCTCTGGCTTCAGGCTGACAACATCTTTCTTTACTTACAACAGCATCTTTCTTTACTAGATGCAAATCTGTCACTGCATCTTTTTGTTCACTTCTTGAAGGTAGATTTCCTGGAGGGGCGCTGAGTAATTTTTTTTTCTGAAAAGGGGGCGGTAGGCCAAATAAGTTAGGGAACCTCTGATCTAAGCCAAGCTGGGCTTCATGGGGGCACCGCTTTAGAAGGTTCAGAAGTTGTTTTGGGGTGTCTCGCTCTCTGGAGAGACCAGTGGCTGGTTACAAGCCTTCAGCAAAGTTCCCCGAGTTCCCTCGGGCAACACATTCGCAAGATCTAAGAACACCAGTCATACTATCTCAGGTTCATTCACTTGTTATCTTCCAAGGTTGTATATGCCAGCAAATGGCAGCAATGACCTTCCACTCTGTTCGTCAGAAAAACTGGTCAGTCCCTATACAAAGCAATAAATGAACCTGAGAGTGGCAGTCCTTAATCAGAGAAGCTTCAAGGAGAAATTAAAATGCATGATTGCTGAACTTAATTTGGAACAATGGATCCCCCAGGGCTGAACAGGGACAGAGGATTACTATCTGACAATTGCTAATCTTCTGCCCCTAAGCATTTCTCCTTTGTTCTAATCTATCTGATTACAGTGTGCATAATACCTCTGCATCCCGAGTTCGTTTTTTGCAACACCTCTCCCACCCTCTGACTAGGATATAAAGACTGAGAGATCTCTATTCTGAAACAAATATGACAGATTGAGACTTAACTCCGAAAGGTTATACCTGGAAAACCTGGTTAGTCTTTAGGTGCTACTTGATTCAAAATTAGGTATTTGTGGAAAGTGTCATGTCATCACACCAGGTATCCTTTTCTTTCAGCAGGGCATGCGTCACTGAACGAAGCAGAACACCTACTGATGGAAAAAGAGGATACACATTCAGATGTGAAAGAGAAGTCTGAAGATATGGATGCACCAAGGGAGGAGGAGGGAAAACACCCACCTAAAGGGCGGAACAGTTCCGGTATTTTACAGGGCGATGACTCTGTACGGCAAAAAATATGTCAAGGAGACAACCAGAATGAGTGTATTACAAGTAGGAAAAGTTTCACTGAAATATCAGTTATTAATATACAAGGGATGTATAACAGAATAAAAATATATAAATGCTCGGAGTGTGGGAAAAGCTTCAGTCACAGTTCCAGTCTTACTTACCATCGAAGAATTCACACAGGGGAGAAACCATTCAAATGCCTGGAGTGTGGGAAAAGCTTCAGTCACAGTTCTAGTCTGACTTCCCATAGAAGAATTCACACAGGGGAGAAACCATACAAATGCCTGGAATGTGGGAAAAGCTTCAGTCACAGTTCCAGTCTGACTTCCCATAAAAGAATTCACACAGGGGAGAAACCATACAAATGCCTGGAGTGTGGAAAAAGCTTCAGTTCAAGTTCATACCTTAGTTCTCATCAGAAGATTCACACCGAGGAGAATCCATACAAATGCCTAGAGTGTGGAAAAACCTTCAGTCAGAATTCCAGCCTTGCTTTCCATCAAAGAATTCACACAGGGGAGAAACCATATAAATGCCTGGAGTGTGGGAAAAGGTTCTGTCAAAGTTCCAGTCTGACTTCCCATCAAAGAATTCACACAGGGGAGAAACCATATAAATGTCTGGAGTGTGGGAAAAGCTTCAGTCATAGAGGCCACCTTACTGTCCATCAAAAAATTCACAGAGATGAGAAGCCATATAAATGCCTGGAGTGTGGAAAAAGCTACAGACAGAGTTACAGTCTTACTTCCCATCAAAGAATACACACAGGGGAGAAACCATATAAATGTCTGGAGTGTGGAAAGGGCTTCACTGACAGTTCTAGTCTTACTTCCCATCGAAGAAGTCACACAGGGGAGAAACCATACAGATGCCTGGAGTGTGGGAAAAGTTTCAGCCATGGTTCCGGTCTGACTTCCCATCAAAGAATTCACACAGGGGAGAAACCATACAAATGCATGGACTGTGGGAAAAGCTTTGGTCACACTAACTCTTTTACTTGCCATCGAAGAATTCACACAGGGGAGAAACCATATAAATGCCTGGAGTGTGGGAAAAGCTTCAGTCAGAGACCACACCTTCGTGTCCATCAGAATATTCATACAGGGGAGAAACCATATAAATGTCTGGAATGTGGAAAAAGCTTCAAGTCAAGTAGACACCTTTCTGTCCATCAAAAATTCAGAGGTTAGAGGCAATATAAATGCCTGGGGTGTGGAAGAAATTTCCATAAGAAAAAAAGATTTACTTCCCATCAAAGAACTTACACAAGGGAGAAACCATATAAATGTATGGAGTGTGGGCAAGGTTTCAGTCAGAGTGGCAGTTGTACTTTCCATTGAAGAATTCAGGCAAGGGAGGAAAAAAGATTTAATTCTGTGGTTAAATGGGCACAAAACATGGGTCATAATATTGATTTGGACCAGTGGTCACAGGTATGGAATAAGAATGTAAAGATTACTAAAGCAATTTCATATAAAGAAAATATTTATAAAATGTTTTATAGATGGTGTATTACTCCAGATAAATTATCAAAGTTTTATCCTAACCTACCAAACAATTGTTGGAAATGTTAAAAAAATGTTGGTTCTTTTTTCATATGTAGTGGACATGTGATAGAGTTAAAAATATTGGTCTTGGATTCATGACATATTACATATATGTTAAAAATTACTATACTTTATGTGCCAGAATTGTTTTTATTGAATATATTACCAGAAAATTGTAAAAAGCAAGGTTCCTACCTTATTATACATGTAGTGACAACTGCAAGAATTTTATATGCTAAATAATGGAGAAGAAACGATGTACCTTCAAGAGAAGAAACTATAAATAGAATGCTTGAGACTGCAGAGATGGACAAATGAACTTTAATGTTAAGAGGACAAACTGAAGGAAGCTTTGAAAACACATCAAGATTTTACAAATGGATTGAAGAATACAACAAATAAAACATATCAACATACAACTGATCTGGAAATAAATAAGAACTATATTTTTAACCACATGCAAAAGATTTATATAAAATACAAGGTGGAACAAGCAAAAATATAATTAGATATTGTATGAGGTAACTAAATAGACAATCCAATGATGTAACGATAATCCCCAATTTTTGTTTGTATGTTTGTTTTGTCTTCTATAAAATAAAAAAGGGAAAGTTGTACTTTCCATTGAAGAATTCAGGCAAAGGAGAAGGCATACAAACACCTGTAGTGTGGGAAAAACTTTCAGAAGAGTGCACAACTTATTTCCCACCAAAGGATGCACACAAGGGAGAGGAAATATCTTGCATATTCATGATTTTAATTATATTTATGAATGTTTATGCATTATGTACTTTCATAACCTCTGTAATGTTCAGTTCCTGGTCAGGAAAAGTACCAAAAGTTCAGAAGTGCCTCTCAACCTTGACAGTTCATTAGTATAACTGAAGAAATGGGATATTTATTGCTCTGGAATGACAAACAACTGCTGTCTTTTGTCTTACTAGAAATAAGGCCCGTTGTGGAAATAAATACAACGAGATCTAGAAAGAGGCCCTGGGAGAGTGCTCTGGCTTTGGGCAAACAGTGTCAGTCTGCTTTTAAAACATGAACCTGGGACCTGCACACCAGCAGAATACAGCAGGTTCCATATGCAACTGACATTCCAACTGCCTTGCGGTGGGGGGGGAGTTTGAGGTGTGGAATGGAGTGAAGTCCAATCAGCTTCCATATGCAAAAGACCAGGTTGTCGCAGCAGTTGTGTGGGCGGGACCCGGGCTTTGCCTTCTGATTGGTGGCGATATATGCTGAGGAGCAGTGCCATCAGCCATACACTAAGGGAGTGCATTTTAGAATCAGAACTTTGGCACCCACTATTCAATTATATATAAGGAGAGATAACCTTGCCTTGAGAATTTAATGGCAGTTATCAAGACATATTTTAGTCCACCTAGTATAGTTACTCGTTTGCATAAGCACTTTAGGTTTCAGTTGTTTTATTTGGGAACAATCACATGTTCAGGACCAAAAGTTTTATTTCTCTTCCTCTATCATCTCTAGGGATGGGCATGGACCAAAAAACCCAGAGGTTTATATAGGTTCATGGGTTTCATGGATCAAGAACCTTAAAAAGGTAAGTCAAACAGAGTAGAGGGCCAACAATTAAAACTTAATATATGTAATATATAAAAATACTCTGCCTTCCCTGGTCCCCACCCCCAAATCTCCAGGAATTTCCCAACCTGGAGTTAACAGCCCTACTACTTATATCATTGTATTCGCCAGGGCAAGAATGCAAAGCTTCACTTTTAAGTTTCTAGTCCTCATCAGGGTTGTAAAACCACCCTTTAAAGTGCCTCCTGAAATCCCAGAAGCCGGAGGGGATTTCAAATAGGGCTGCCTTCCAGTGCCCTAACCCTTGAGGGAAAAGCTTTTCAAACACAACAACGATGGGTCGTATTGGAGGAGCAGGCAGGCTGCCCCAGGGTCAATTCGAATGTCACCCTCTCACTTCTGCGTTTCAATTTACTTTTGGAACATACACTTGTCAGCAAGGCTCCCTCTAAGCCAGTGGTGGTGAACCTATGGCATGGGTGTCAGAGGTGGCACTCAGAGCCCCCTCTGTGGGGACACATGCCATCGCCCCAGCCAGGCCCAGACCATCATTAAAGTTTCGAATTCTCTGCCAAATAATTTTAAGTCAATGAAAGCATTTGGGATTGCTTTCCTTACTTTGTTTGGATCATCTTACGTTAATGTATGAGTTGTTTTTTCTAAAGTAAAACCTCAGTATTCAGGTTAAATTGCCGTGTTGGCACTTTGCGATAAGTGGGTTTTGGGTCGCAGTTTGGGCACTCGGTCTCTAAAAGGTTCGCCATCACTGCTCTAAGCTGTGGAGTCTTGTGAGTAAAAATTCTACTTTGTGAGCGACTGGCATTAAAGTGGTGAGCGAGCAGTTTGGCTGCTGCATACATTAGTTGGCTCTGGAGCCCTCCCTTCCTGAGCTAAGACAAAAATGTGTGAGCTGGAGGCTAAAAACTTGTGATCTGGCTGACACTAACTCAGCTTACTGCTCACAGGGTGTCTGTTGTGGGGAGGGGGAAGGGAGAGGAGTTTATAAGCCGCTCTGACACACCTTTGGGTAGTGAAGGGCGGGGCATAAATCCAATCTCTTCTCCTCTTCAAATTCTGCTTCATGTGGGTCTTCTGACGGCCAAGCGGCACAATCCCTGTGCCCCCCTAACCCCTCCTTCCCAGGCTTCCTCAGCCACCCCTTCAAGTTCAGCCCCTCTGACCCTGCCCCCCATGATCTGCTCCCTCTTTCTCCCCCACCCCAAATCTCACTCCCTCAGCCTCCCACTCCTTCCCAAACGTGCCTGGAAGCCACTTGAACCTCCTCCAATCTCCAAAGAAGGTGGCTGCGGTCTCATACTAAATAGTCCACTTTCAATGCACTTTCCAGCTGGATTTTTACTGTGTGAACTGGCAACATCCACTTTGAAAGTACACTGAAAGTGGATTGGAAGTGAACTAATTATGTGTGTGTGACCGAAGAAGAGGAGATTGGATTTATACCCTGCCCTTCAGTACCTGAAGGAGTCTGAGACCCGCTTACCATCTCCTTTCCCTTCCCCCTTCTCTTTAGAGAACAGCTCTGAGAGAACTTGGGACTGACCCAAGGTCGCACCAGCAGCTGCATGTGGAGGAGTGGGGGGGATCAAACCCGGTTCTCCCAGACTGGAGTCTGCGCTCCTGACCACTAGGCCAAACTGGTGGTACTCAAGTCTGCTGCAAGAACCTCATGGCTTTGGACGAAGGCGATCAGCGGCTCTCAGGCAGGGGAGGCAAGGAGGAAACTGGGAGGCGGGTGCTCTCTTTCACCCCTGCTACACCCCCCCCCCACACACACACACCTTTCTCACTTGCATTGCAGCCCCCTACCCCATATTTCCCCCTCCCCCCCTCCAAAGCCTCTTTGAAGAACTTGGAGATTCCCTGCAAAACATTCAAGCGAGACTCAGGCGCTTTCTTGCAAGCGGTGGTGCCCCCCACCACCACCATGTGCCTGTCTAGGACAGCACTTCTCTCTCCCTTTAACCCTTCGAGACAGTGCTCATTTTTTAGAAGAAAAAAGAAGAGATGGTGGTGCAGTATTCCCTCTAAGCTGTGTGAGCTAGCTCATCATTTTTTAGCCCCCTGCTCACACATTTTTTGCCTTAGCTCAGGAAGGGATGGCTCCAGAGCAAGCTGCACTACCAAAAGGTGTCTCAGAGCGGCTTACAAACTCCTTTCCCTTCCCCTCCAGAGGGATCACTGCCTGTGAGGTAGGTGGGGCTGAGAGAGCTCTGACAGAAACTGCTCTTTTTCAAGGACAGCTCTTATCAGAACCACGGCTTGCCCAAGGCCATCCAGCCAGGTGCAAGTAGAGGAGTGGGGAATCAAACTCGGTTCTCCCAGATTAGAGTCCGCATGCTTAACCACTACACCAAGCTGGCTCTCTGGAGACTGGAGGTGCAAAGGGGTATTTTTGGAGGATATCCTTCTCAGTATGAAGGATGGAGGCAGGGAAGGTCCGCTGTCCTCCCTACTGGTGATTTCCTCCAGGTCTGATGCTTTGGGAGATTTTTTCCTGCCTCCACACAGCACCCTGCAGCACTCGGGCCCTTGCCGGAGTTCCCCCCCTGGCTTTCCTGCCCTCTTGCCCAACGCTGCTTTGGGTTGAAGTTGAATTTCGCAAGCGAGGCAGGATGGCTGCCTGTTCAATCTCCCCCCAGGCCCGCCTCAATGGCAGTTATCTTTCCTTCCCCAGGTATGTGGTGTTTGAGACATATCTGGGTTTTTAAAAATTTGGTAGTCGGATTATCAAAGGCAGAATTGGAATCAATTCAACTGCAGGTACTTAGTAAAGGTCTCTCATCAATGCTCCCTCTAATCTGCGGAGTCTTGTGAGCAAAAATTCTACTTGGTGAGCGATTGGCATTGACGTTGTGAGCGAGCGATTTGGCTGCTGCATCAATTAGTTTGCTCTGGAGCCATCCTTCCTGTGTGAGCGGGAGGCTAAAAAAACTGTGAGCCAGCTCACACTAACTCAGCTTAGGGGGAACACTGGTCCCTACCCCATCAGTAAATTCATTTCAATGTATAATGGAGGTCTATTTAGAAAAATTAGATTGGCTGATTTCTTTAAGGGAGAGGACGATACAATACATTCAAACAGTGGAATTGGCACTTTAAAACCCACATTTAACCCTAACCCTCTAATAATCCTAGTATTTTAGTTTTTCAGGATTTAGTTATGGAGGATATTAACAAGCTGGAGCAGCAGGAGACTTCTGTCTGGCACAGCCTCAGCCATTTGGAAAAGCAAACCTTTAAACAACTTTGCCAATGCACAGATGCT